GAATATGTATTTTACCTCAGGACACATTCAGTGACTCCCAACAGCAACAGCAAACTTAGAATGTTAGAGGCAAAGGCCCATCAGGCCGCATATGCAAATGACCTCTGTGTTCCTACTGGCTGTTGGAGGGAGAGGAACAGCAAACTGTTTAGAATATTGGAGGCCAGACCCAGGCAACGCAGCCAGTGGATAGGGACAGCTTCTGAGGCACAGATCAAGGAGCCAACTGATTTGGGAGCATGTGGAATGTTCAGGAGAGTCCATGACCAAAACAGAATTATTATATATAGCGATAAGACAGCTATGTTTCTTCAGAATAGTGCCAAGCCAACCACATCCATGATTCTTACATGAAAGAACTGAATTTTCTACCCTCTGTGTATTGAAGTCTTAATCTGGAAACCCCATCTCTGAGCCTGCTAAATTCCTGAAATTTGTTGCTAAACTTGTGATGCCACAGGAACAGTCTTGTGTAAGAATTGTCCTGGATTCCCTTCTTGTTGCTAAATTCTGAGGTTGCTGATTCCCAAATAGGAGGTGAATTGACATGGCTCTACAGATTATCCTGGAAAGCATGCTGTGAGGAACAGGTTAGGTTCTGTATGTCCCTAAGAGTGACCAGGGGGAGCTGGTGGAATGTTGGTGAGAGGCTGATGGGGGGGGGGGAAGACATCAGTTCAGAGAGAGTCAGACTAGCTGAGTGAAGGAGCTGTAAGTTCAAAACCAGCATGTGGCAGAAGAGCAGCCTAAGGCTGACTGGAAGAAAGTCAGCTTGTAACAAAGAATCCTGAATGCCTGAGTAAGGTTATGGTTCAAAAGTTCAACTGTAAAGTGACTTTGTAAATTAACTTTGTAAATCTCTACCCTGGGCTACCCTGTCTAGCTTATCTCTGTGAAAGAGAGAGAGGAGATCTTGCGTACGAAAGGGTGAGGGCTCTCTGAATATTCTAAATGTGTGTGACAAAGGTTGTGGAGGGTGGTAGGATCTCTTGAGTGAGTAAGGGGGTTACACATGCCTCAGTGTCTCTGCCATTTCAAGGACAAAGGCAAAGCTTTCACATCATCTCTTTGCCAGATCCCCTTGCTATGTTTCTGCAAGAAAGGGAGCTGTTAATGGCATTTAAAAAGACCATAAGAAAGAGTTGGGAATCCCATCGCCTGGCCTGATCGGTTCATGAATATGGCCCAGGAAGGAAGGTGAAGCGAATACAGCCAGTTTGAATAAATGGCTATTTCTTGCAAAGAATCAGTCTAGTGAGTATGCCTCTAAAAGAAGAGATCGGATTTATACCCTGCCCGTCACTACCCGAAGGAGTCACAGAGCGGTTTACAATCTCCTTTACCTTCCCCTCCCCTCCCCACAACAGACACCCTGTGAGGTAGGTGGGGCTGAGAGAACTCTTTCTAGAACTGCTCCTGAAAGAACAGCTCCGAAAGAACTTGTGACTAACCCAAGGTCACAGCAGCAGCTGCATGTGGAGGAATGGGGAACCCGGTTCTCTCAGATTAGAACCCATGCTCCTAACCACTACACCAAACTGTACCCATGGAACTCTCAGCTTTTCAGTCCCAAAGTATTAGGTTGGATTCAGTCAGCTTTTTCATTCAAACTAACTGACTTGTCCTCCTTGTTATGGCTCCTGTTTGTCATAACTTTTGTCTGATGATACCCCACATAGCCTTTGGAGAGCCAGTTTGGTGTAGTGGTTAAGAGCAGTGGACTCTAATCTGGAGAACCGGGTTTGATTCCCCATTCTTCCTCCACATGCAGCCAGCTGGGTGACCTTGGGTCAGTCACAATTCTCTCAGAGCTGTTCCCTCAAGAGCAGTTCTCTCAGAGCTCACCCAGCACCACCCACCTCACAGGGTATCTGTTGTGGGAAGAGGAAGGGAAGGAGATTGTAAACTGCTCCAAGAATCTGAGTGAAGGGCGAGGTATAAATCCAACTCTTCTTCTTTTTGGTGATTAAAGGGAAGTTCTTCTCTCTTTTATCAGCAATAGAAAAGCTGGTTGCATCCAACTCATTTTTTTTCTGATGAAAGAAGTTACTACATTTCTTTGGGAGCAAAACAAATAACTCCCAACACACTGTTGGATTTTCAGTTTGTATTGTTGGGCAGCAGAGGCAAAGACAGAATGACACATGGCAAACTGTTACACCGGTTGCAAACCTGTTTTGCTCATTTCCCAGACTCTTAAGAACAAAGTAACCCCCCCCCCCAAAAAAAACAACTATGAGAGTTGACTTTTCTTGTGATATGGGCAATAGCAATGAACAAGCACAAAGCCATTGTTAGGAAATACCTAAACCTATCTGCATCATATGCAGATCTGAATGCCCAAATTTGGGGAACTGGGATATGGCAACCCTGTCTTTAAAGTACACTTTGTCCTTGTGGCATTTGTTTGTTGTCTTTTTTGCAGTAAAAGGATATTTCTTTAGGAGTTTGATTAAGTTGTGGGTTGTTTTTTTTAATCCCCGGAAGGATATTTTTTATTATTTTTTTATAAGACTACAAAACTACAAAGAAAATATAAGGGAAGGGGATTACATCTAAGGATAAAGGATAGATAACCACACTACACTAAAAACCCAAGAGGAGATCATATCCGTGTTAATCTGTTATTAATAAAAGTGTTAGTACAACAATATACTTGTAGAGTTCTTGTTTGTCTCGGCTTCAATGTTAGTATGTTAGTTGTTGTGAGAGAACTTTCTGAGCATCTTGTTATTTGCTTCAAAGGCAATTTTCAGAGTCCTTCTGCCTTTACTTCGGTTTTCTGTCTCTGAAATCATATGTAACTTTCGTTGCGGCTGCACCCATTTCTACAGCAGAGTCCTCATCCGTTCCAGAGGTAGCGGAGTCACTTGATTTCGATTCTTCATCTTTGGATTCTTCCTCCAATCCCAACTGGCGTCTCAAAAATTCTTTGGCTTTAAAAATGGAGTCAATCTTTTCTCTTTTGTCATTGATTTTAAAGATGACACCCTCTGGGATCGCCCACCTGTATGAAATTCCATTGGTTTGAAGAAAAGAAATTAAGCCCTTATAGCTTTTCCTCTTTTGGCGAATTTCAAATGGAATGTCTTTTAAAGTTTTAATGTTTATATTCCCCATTTTCAGTGGAGTTGCTGAAGTTGCTTTTAAAATAGCATCTCTGGTCTGTCTTCTTGAGACTCTGACCACAATTTCTCCAGGCAGGCTATTTTTAAAAATATAATTGGAGTATGCCCTATAAGCAGTCTTCATCTCTTTTACTACTTCATCCGCTGCTGAGCCTATTGCTAGAGCAATGATCTCGCTGAACAACGTCCTCAAATCCTCCTTTGCTGATTCAGAAACTCCCTGGAATCTGAGAATCATGTTGGCCTTTTCCATTTGTAGCTGTAGCAAACGGTTTTCTTGGAAGTTTTGTTTTGCTTCAACTTCCCCCATTCTTTTATTCATTTTCTTGTTTGTGGTGTCTATCTCTTTAATTCTCTCAGTCGTATGCTCCACCTTCTTTGCCGTTTCTGCCAGTTGGAGCAGCTGGGATGCGAAGTTTTGATTCAGCGAAGACAGTTGCTGGTTAATACCATTGAGTTGCTCCATCACTGGCTTGAGCATATCCGCTAACATTTTCATGACGTCTGCTCCCTCTTCCGGTTTTGGGCTCTGACTACCCACCGGTTTCGCTTTAAACTTTCTTTGCGAGGCTGCCATTTTATATGATTGTTTACAATTCCAAACTGCTTCTCATGGACTCTAAAAATTGTCACCTCGATGTCAGCACTCAAGTAAGTCTCTCGAAACAAAATCACTGCTTGTTTCCCCCCCCTGCCCCCTTCGTTACGCTTATCTGTCCATTCGCATAAGAGGCTCCGCTTTTCCCACGGGAGGGGGGTAGTTCGCTTTTAAAATATTCCATTTATTTTGAACTCACGTTCATTGTCGGTCATTTCTCTGACCTCGCTCACAGTAATCGATATTCCACTCGATCTCCAGTGCTTGTCCCAGTCAAATCGGCTTGTGCCCGAGGGCCACACAGCGGCAGGACCGTCAGAGCAAAGGGAAGCCTCAATTTTCTGGCATTTAGCCGTCGAAGAGGCTGCCCCTCAAAATCCCTATGACCTGGAGCCTATCACAAAGGCTCCATGTGAATGCTACGTGAGGTAGCACCCCTCCATACCGTTGGTGTGCGAGTCGCTCCCCCGAGGTCTGGGGAGAACGACCGCCATCGCTGATCCACAAACCGGAAGCTCAGGAGTTTGATTAAGTTTTTTGACCATCTTGATCTCCTTTCTGAAATGCCCACAGTGCCACCCTAAGCAGAGTTGACAGCCTTCTAAGCCCATTGACTTCTTAAATGGGTGGCAGTGCTCAGGATGGCACTGTTATTTTATTCTCTGAACTTGTGTTGGTTTCATATCACCCAGAGAAGACCTGTTTCAGTGGGTGCTTCATGGCTGTAGCTGATTAGCAGAGATCACAAGAAGGTACATAACTGTGACAACCTCTACAGCATGTAGTTTTAACAGCCCCTTAGGGAGCTTGTTAATGAAAAAAGTGCTACAGAACCCTAGTTATTTTTTAAATCAGCATTCTCATATAACACTCTAAGGAACTGTCATAAGAGGAAGTGTGTTTGTAGTTTCTATTTACATGTAGCTTTAATTACTGTCTGCTTTGAAAAATAGTGTCAAAGATGCTTAGAGGGTTCCTCTGTCTTCTTTCACTGCAAAGATGTGTTCGTGTAAGCTACAGCCTGCTATAAGAACTCCCTTTTCTCCTTTCCTTAGAATGTAATTATGTTTGTTTGTGTGTGAGCATGTGAGAGAGAAAGAGGGTGGCACAGATGTACCTAGGGATTCAAGCATCTCTTTCGTATTGGACTGGCATTCATCTGATGCATGTTCTTGTTATCTTTGCCATCTGTCTGCTAATTGTAATTCTCCACATCGTTATCGCCATAGTTTGTTTGGTTAATTCTGTCTCCCACCCCCTTTCTTTTACTGTAGTGTCTACGACCCTGACAGGAATATGCTGCGGAGGAAAGAATGGGAGAGAAGAAATCAAGAGGCCCAGCATGAAGATGGCATATTTAGCACCAGTTATTCCCTATTCAGTGAACCATACAAGGTAGACATTTTCCACACCATTCCTACAAATGGTTTGAGCTAAAGTATTGCCACCAGTGTTCCCTCTAAACTGAGTTAATGTGGGCTAGTTCATAGTTTTTTAGCCTCTAGCTCACATATTTTTGGTCTTAGCTTAGGAAGGATGGCTCCAGAGCAAACTAATTTATGCAGTAGTCAAATCACTCACTCACAACTTTAATGCCAGTAGCTCACAAAGTAGAATTTTTGCTCACAAGACTCCACAGCTTAGAGGGAGCACTGGTTACTACCATGAGTCTTTCCTCCCAGAGTGATAGAATAGACAACAAAATACCTTTTATAAGGCAAATGTTTATTTCTGGAAAAACTTACCCTGGCTTACAATGACCTGCTTTTCATGAAGACTTCCAAAATAATAAAGTGCATAGAATCTTATTATATTCATGATCTAATGTTATTGTTGGGATTTTGACAAATTTTGTAAAATTGCTAGAGTGCTCCCAGTCTATCTCAATTTAGCATCATCCATGCATTTGAGGAGTCCAGACTGAGTGATACTATATCAAAACTGATCAAGAATTGTTGTATAACTTTTTCAGTTTGACTATGGTATCTTTGTAATAATAGAACTTTTACTGATTACCTACTATGCTGTGATAGTTCTCCCCCCAGTTTAAGTCCCTACAGCATGCTTATAAAGAAGTAATCTGGGACTAGATCAAAAATTCTGCCAAAGTTTGAATATCTTAATCATATTGCCCTTGATAATTGAACTGGTTCATTTAGGCTCAGGGGCGCGGCTGTGTGCATGGGTGGGTGGTTGCATTAAAACCATGTTGCTTTAAAATTGTGTTAAATTAAAACTCTATTGTCTTCTAGTAATATCTCCAATTTTATTCAAATTATTTACTAATTAGTAATTTTAAGTTAAGAATGTTCAAAAAGACCTGAACTGTTTTAAGATGAAATCAAATTTGTATTGTGCCCAATAGATATTAGGTGTTTTAGAAATAATAACAATAATACTGGATATTTTTTGCTTCCTTCTGATCAAGGTGCCCATAGCCTTCTATAAAAAGAAAAGAATTATTACCAAGGACATAGTTCGAGCAGGAACCATTACTGTTGCATTATCAAAATTCCAAGGTGATATAGTGGATGTTGTGTTTGATTCAGAAGATATCCAAATACACATCCTTGTACTGTCATGCTAAATGCAGAGGTCAGTTCGGGGGGGATCGCGGGGGATCGCAGTTCCCCCGGGTGAGGTACGGGGGCACATGACGAAGCCCCACCCCCTGCTTCTGGCCGCCCCGCTTCCGGCCCTCATTCAGCCAGGAGGAGGCAGGAGAAGAGGGAGGGTAAGTTGCTTCCTCCCTGCCTCTCCCCACCCCTGCCTGCCTGTGGCCAGGGAGGGCCTTCGCGGGGCTTCCTCGCACTCCCGCCGGCCTTGCAGGTCCACCACCGGGCCCCTCATGGGGCTCGGCAGTGGAGCTGCAAGGCCGGCGGTGGCGGCCGGGACCGTTGGGGGCGGTGTGTGTGGCCTTATGACACACGTCCGGTGATGTCAGGGGGTGTGGCCTTATGACACACTTCCGGTGATGTCAGGGGGTGTGGCATATGCTAATGAGTTATGCTAATGAGTTCCCCTAGCTCTTTTTCTACAAAATGACCCCTGGCTAAATGTATGGTGAGGATAAAGTTAAATGTGTCGTTGCTCCTGGAATCTGGATGAAAGAAGGAAAAGAGAGCCATAAACCACTGTGGAATGACCAAAAGCCATAACTAAGTAATACTGTTTAACATGCTATATAGTTATTAGCTCATCAGGGAAGGGGAAGGGGCTGGTGTGCGTTGTGCCCTGCTCCCCTTTTCCTACACACTGGCAGTAAAGCTTTCAGTTCCCTGTCTATGGCCCATTCTGCATCTAGCATTCACTCCCTTGTTTTACCAAACCCACACAAGAACAGAAAAAGATGCAGCTCAAAACCACATTCAGATACCCTGGGCCAACACAGTACTGACTGCAGAGTCACCCCTGAATGGCCATAAAATGGCCATAAACCTATGCAGACAATACCATAAAACCAAGAGATCAAAGGAAGTGAAACCGGCATGCAGTGTGAGCCTTCGATAAAACCGACAATCAAAGAAAGGGAAAGTGGCATGCAATGTAGAGGGGAATTGCTGTTTCAATGTGGGTTTGGTAAAACAGTGGAGCAAATGCTAGATGCAGAATGGGCCTCTGTGACTTCATGCTCGATTTCTGTGCTTTTTACCCAAAAGAGCTCCTAATGAGTATCTCCCACAAGATTACCTCTTAAACTGAAATATGTGCCTATTCCTATGTGCCACTAGTGCTGGTGAGATCCAGATTGTCCAGCTCCATTACTAAGCTAAAGAAATATCAATTTTATTGTTATGAAGTCTCCTCCAGCATCCTCTAGTCACAAATTGTTTTACAGACCTGACAAATGTACCTGAGACAGCTTGAGATGACCAGTGACCACTTCAGATATCAGGATCCTGTATTGCTGTTGCCAGCTACTGTAATAAACTCCTAGAGGGCACTGTTTCTTGCAGGTTATGAACACTCGGTGTCTTTCAAACTCTCCATTCTAGTATCTCAGACCTTATAACTGGGACTTCGAGGAGTTGCTTGGCTCACTGGTCAAGACCAGACCTGCCATTCACTCAGATTATTTTCACCTAATGAAGGAAAATGACATCTTGCCATCTTCACATATTAGTTTCTGTTAACATGGGTCTATCATATGCTAGGTGCATCAGGTCCTGTGCTGCATTCATCATCTTATACATGGTGGGTTGCTGATACCGAGTTGCATCACGTTATCACATTCAACAGCCCATCACTTAGACCAGTACATAGTGTTGTGGACATAAAACCAACCAGGGGTAATACAAGGTAAAGGTTTCCCTTTCTCGAAAGCCAGTCAAATCCAACTCTAGGGGGTGGTGTTCATCTCCGTTTCCAAGCCAAAGAGCCAGGACTGTCCAAAGACATTTCCGTGGTCATGTGGCCAGCATGACTAAACGCGAGGTGCGCGGAATGCTGTTACCGAAGCAGTATCTATTTATTTACTTGCAGTTTCTTGCTTTTGAACTGCTAGGTTGGCAGGAGCTGGGGCCAGAGACGGAAGTTCACTCTGTCACATGGCACTAGAGTTTGATTGCCGAACTACAGACCTTCAGGTCTGCAGCTCAGCGTCTTAATCTCTTAGCCACTGCGGCCCCTGGAGAGGTAATATATATGAGAATAAAACTAAAAGAATGAGAAGCTCAGTTGGGCTGCCTGGGAAGGTACCTTTGAAGGCTTGAGATCATTCCAGGTCCATGCTCATTAACCTTTCCTTTGGCACCTTGAGGCTACATAATCCACCCAGAATGCTGTCAGGAAATGTTACACCGTCAGAGTAACTCCTTCCAGATGGGAAGCAGTGGTCCCTCAGTATTTCGTTACAACTTAAATGTGGTCTCACTAAGTTTATTTGTTTATTTAGAACATTCATATGCCACCTCTCCAGAGACTTGTTCGAAGCAATCTACAGCTAAGAAAATACAGAAGCATTAAAGCATACCCATTAAAAGACAAACATAAAAAAGGCCAATGCCATAAAACAACCATTAAAAAGGCCAATGCTATTAAAACAGCAGCATAATATATACACACTGAGCATCGTAACTTGATGTAAATAAAATGAACTTCAGGCCAGAAGGAGACCGTGGTGGTAAGTGCCGTCAAGTCACAGATGACTTATGGCAACCCTTTAGGGTTTTCAAGGCAAGAGACATTCAGAAGTGGTTTGCCATTGCCTGTCTCCATGTCACGATCCTGGTATTCCTTGGTGGTCTGCCCTCCAAATACTAGTCATAAGACATTTAAAAGGTAAAACCCCTTAGTTAAAGGTAAAAGGTAAAGGTTCCCTTGCTCGAAAGCCAGTCGAATCCGACTCTAGGGTTGCGGTGCTCATCTCCGTTTCAAAGCCGAAGAGCCAGCGCTGTCCGAAGACATTTCCGTGGTCATGTGGCCGGCATGACTAAACACCAAGGCGCACGGAACGCTGTTACCTTCCCACTGAAGTGGTACCTATTTATCGAACTGCTAGGTTGGTAGGACCTGGAACTAGTGACGGGAGCTCACTCCATCATGCAGCGCACTCAGGTCTCGAACCGCTGAACTACCGACCTTCCACAGCGTCTTAACCACTTGAGCCACTGCAGCTCCAGTAGCCCTTAGTTAAAGGCCTGGGTAAAAGGAATGTTTTAGCCTGGTGCCTTAAAGAAAGTAAGGTGGGTACCAGTTGAGCCTCACAGGAAGGGCATTTCATAAGTGAGGGGCAACCACAAAGAAGTCCTATCTCTGACTGCCACCCATCTCATCTCTGAAGACAGAAACTCATAGAGCAGGGCTTTAGAATAAAATCTTTTAACTGGTGGGCTGGATAATACAGTTATATTCCCCTTTCCCTGCTGGTATATCTTTGAATGGCTATTGAAAATTTCCAGGGATTATGCTGAAAGTGTCAGTAACTTGGAGGGTGGAGCTACTTCCTGTCGGTCCTGTCATGCACATATGTGCACATCCTGCGGTTGCTTTTAAGGAACACTAAAGATATCATGAAATCTCAGAATCGCATCAATGATACATAGAGGCAAGAGAGGGAGGGTATAAGAAGGAACTTTCCTTCACTTTGGGCGCATCATCATTTCGCCCCCTACCCCAAATCTGGCAATCTCTTTGCGAGTCCCACAGTGAATATGTAACAAAAACTAATTTTTGTTCCATCTTTGTTTGACCCGCAAGAATGCAGTATATAGAAACAGCTATCCCCCCCCCCCCCCGAGTGTACATTTGTGGTATTAATTCTCTCCTTCATACTGGTAGGTTTAATGATATTTCCAAGGAAAACTTGAAACAGACAAACAAGAATATTCCAACTCTAGTCATAGTTTACTCAAATTACTCTGTAGCTAATACTATTCTTTTCTGTTTTCATGTTGGCATACTGTAAAAAGCTGTGTAAGTAATTCAAGATCATTAGATACTTTTCAGTTGCTTTGTTTTTTACAAAATGTCTTTTAAAAAATTGCTTTACAGACTAACAAAGGGGATGAACTCTCCAGTCGTATCCAGAGTACTCTAGGCAACTATGATGAAGTGAAAGAGCTGTTGACTGATCGATCCAATCAAAGCCATCTTGTTGGAGTTCCAAAGCCCTGTATCTCTCAAACGTCTGTGAGCAAAGCTGATGAACATTTTATTGCTGACCCTCAGGCTTCTGTTTGCGCTGCACCATCTTCCCTATCGGTGGCACTTCCTGGGCAACTGAACAAGACCACTGCAATAGGTTGGCAGAAATCTGGACATACTTTGGAAAGTCAGCAAAGGGGAAGCAAACCTGGGCATGGATTGCCCGATTCCCATAATAGTGACTTCAAAACAGGTAACCAAAAAAGCAGTTTAGAAAAGATTAAACGATATGTATCCAGTCCCTCATCACCATCTTCATCAAGTGCCGCCCAAGGTCTTTTACCATCCTCACTTGGAGATAGCATCAGAACACAAAAGCCACCAAAACTGAGTTGTGGTGCAGAGGCTGGAGTTCAGGCTCAAGAAAGGGCAGCTATGCTTAGCAGTGGACACTGTGTACAAAACTTTCCTCCCACACTTGCTTCAAAGCCCACTGTAGTTCAGCAGAAACCGACAGCTTATGTCAGGCCGATGGATGGTCAAGATCAGGCCCCTGATGAATCTCCAAAATTGAAGGTGCCAGCTGAAACCAGCATGCTCTGCCCTTCGTATAGAGGAATGCCTTCTGCAAAAACAGACTCGGCTAGAACCAAGACAAAAACAACAAAATTCAGTATTCCCAAGCAAGGAGAGGTAAGTGCTGCTTAATTTGGCAAGCTCTTGGAATACTAATATTGAATCACTTATGAAACTGGTAAACATGCAGTGATATCAAGATTTTTTTCTCCTTCAAGAATTCTTCAGGTGTGAGATTACCTCTTGTATACCTTCTCAACTCTTGTGCGGAACAAGCCCTATGAAAACATTTCCCCACTTACTGAGCTCTCTTTTAGTGATACAATTATGGTTTTTTTAACAAGTGTCTTCATTACTAATTTCAAAGAAAATGGAAATTTATTGTACTTGAGACGTAGTTCGTTGGTTAGATGGATTAAGTAGGCACCTGAAATGGTAATAAATGAATGGCTGTACTTTAAGCACCTTAAAGAGGTTTTGTGGGAGATAAGAGTGTAATTCTATGTCATTGTTCCAAGTATATATAGTTGTGTGACTGTTGTTGGTATCTGTTGGATAGGGCACGTGTCACAAGCTGATTCAAATCCAAGCCTGGATTTTAATTCTGTGAGGATATAGCACAGGCTCAATCATGTAAAAGAAAATAACCTTTCTTCAAAACTGACTCAGCAGGATTTGAATCATTGCTCCTTAACTTTCCTAAAATATGGTGCTCCTCATTTCTGGGCTTGGAACACACATCTTCATTGGATTTTTTTTGAGGGGGGGGATAACACGGGTGAACTTTACATCTCCTCTTTTTTTTGTTGGTAGCTTGACATTCTGCTGCTACTGCCCTAATCTGGATAGCTAAGCATGGCCAACCCTGGCAAGTATTTGGATGGGAGACCTCCAAAGAATACCAGGGCTGGGAGGCAGAGGCAGGCTATCAAGCCACTTGTCTGAACATCCTCCGTGCCCCAGTAGGGGTTGCCAGAGGTTGCCATAACTTCTAGGCATGGGCACACGCACACAAATTTTAAAATACCAAACAGAAAAGAAAAATTCTGCTGCTACTGGAGACAGCATAGCCCATTGTGGCAATTCACTTCCAAAGCATATCTTAGAAATGGCTGTGGATAGGACAACAAGGGAGTGTATTAAAGAACAGGTTGGAGCAGGGAATAGTGGAAATATGGATACGGTGGTGAGTTGGATGTCAAATGTAGAGCCTCAAGATTAATATAGTGGAATAAGATACTAGCTTGACTTGCTCATGGAAAAAATGAACAAGAGGCATATAGGATTTTTTTGTGTGTGTAACTAAGATTCAGTTATGCACTTCAGTTGATCATTCAGGAAACTGGGATGGGTTACTTTGCCCTAAAAGTGAAACAACAAGATGTTACGTTTAATTTTGTTCATTTTTGCATGTTTATATTTTTGTGGTTATGAGCCAGAACTGTAAAATCTATAAAGCATTCACTATGGTTATTTCATAAACTTCTTGTATAGTAAATGGCTATACCTAATTTTTCTCCAGGTGTGAAGAAATATACAATTGTAGCAATACATACATATAAGCAGGGAACCTGCAAGAACTTGTGAGAGGCATCTCATTTCCCCTCCTTCACTATTTCTTCTTTCCCTTTCCTGAAAACTCCAATTTCTGCTCCTGTTTTCCTGCCTCCTTCTCTCCTTCCCACCCATTAGCCAACACTACCTTTATATGGTCCCCATCTTCAGCATTCTCTCCTTTCCTCCCCCTGGTAGCTTCTCCTGGGAAAAGTCTGGCCCAGTTGGACAATAGCTGCTAGCAAGCTGGGGCCCAGTTGTGCAATCAGGAACCTGCAAAGACTTGTGGGGGGCACCTCACTTTCCCCTGTATCCCTTCTCCACTCTATTACCTCTGTCTCTCCTCCTAGATGCCCCCTTATCCTTTCTTACTTCCTTCTCTCCTTCTCACCCACGTACCTTTTATCTGCCTGCCATCTTCAGCTATATTATTTGCTTGTTTCTTTTATACCCCACCTTTCTCCACAATGGGGACATAAAGGAGCTTCTCAATCTCCTCTGCTCCACTTTATCCTCACAATAACCCTATGAGGTGGGTTAGGCTGAGAAAGATTGACAGGCCCAAGGTCACCCAGTAAGCTTCCATGGCAGTGGGGATTCAGTCCTTGGTCTCCCAGATCTTAGTCTGAAAATCTAACCACTAGAAATATTGAATTAGAATTAGATAATATTGATATATATTTTAAAAGTCAGATAATAACAGACCCATCTTTAAAAATGAAAAGTAACTAAGAGGATTATCTGACATATAGCTGTTGTTTCTGTGTGGTATAAGCTCCTCTTTAGAATATCCCTGGAGGCTTTCTTATCTAGAGACCATCAAATTGGTTTCAGTACATAGGAATCATTGGCAATAGCTCTTGAACACAAATTATAGGCCATTACTTTTAAATATGCTGGAAAGGTTGATTTCCAGTATAGTTCCGTCCCTTATTTAACACTGATGATCAGGTTTGGAAAGCTCTCTATATCTTGACACAAAGTGAATCTTATAATAATTTTCAAAATCTGTTTTAATGAGGATATCCTGGCTATACTTTATGCATAAGAGAATCAAGTGTTCATTCAGGATTTAATTTTTAGGAGTCAGTTTCATCAGTATTAATCAGGATTCATATCCGACTTCCTAGACCTTTTACAAATCCTCCTCCTTCTCTGTGTAAATGATAGCCTCTCTTCTCAAGTACTTCTGTTTCACGTTTAGAATTTTATTGTAAGCTGCTTATGAATTACATTACTATAATGAAGATCTGGTGCACTGAGGAGAAAAATTTTATAGCATAAATAGGCCACAGAGAGACACTTCTTCCCAGTATGGCTCTTCAAAAATTATTTGCTGTAGGTGCACATGCTTTCATTAATGTTTGCATTTGGTTTCTGTCTGGGCTGAGTGAAAAAGCCAGTATCCAAATTTAAGAACAGACACTCATTTTTATGAGCCTGTCTTCCATTTTATTTGAGACTTTTAAGTTTGGGGGCCAGGATAGTAGGTAGAAATCCTGGTATTATGTAGGTTGTATTAATTTTTTGCGATCAGCTTCTAGTGATGTAAATGATACTTTCCTATAGTGAAAAATCCATGCATGTGTGCTTGGTCCATTCCATTTGGCAGTGAACTGCAGCCTTTATTTAGCATTTGTTGGTTTTGAGGAAGTGTTATGGTCTACCACTATCAATGAGTTTATTCAGGCAACTCCTATCAAGAACCATATTAGCAGGATGCCTGTTGTATTGGTAATGAGTTCATAATACAGGGGTATGTCAAATCAAGATACTTGTTGGATCCTCTCATTTTGTATTTCAGTCCCTCAGAATGTTTCTTTTAAAGCTAGATTACTGTTGACTGACTTTTTTTGTGCATGCACAGCTCTGATCGCTACTACTGAAGTGCATCCTAGATGTTAAACACCACGGAAACCTATGCTACAATAGACTCATAGAATCATAGAATTGGAAGGGATCTCCAGGGTCATCTAGTCCAACCCCCTTCACAATGCAGGAAATTCACAAATACCTCCCCACCCCCACACCTGCAATGACCACTGTTCCATTCCCAGAAGATGAGAAAAAAACTTCCAGGATCCCTGGCCAAACTGGCCTGGAGAAAAATTGCTTCCTGACCCCAAAGTGGCGATCAGCATTTCCCTGGGCATGTAAGAAAGGGCCACAAGAACTAAGCGCTGAGGCAACCCTTCCTGCCCTCTCTCTCATGATATGTGAGTTGGTTGTTGGACATTACTGAAATTAAAGGTGGTGGTTGTGTTTTTTTTATTTCGAGTTTGAGTTAGCCTTGATTAGCATGTTTTTTTATTTGTTTGTTTTTGCACTCTCCTAATTTTTAGTTTTATTGGTAAGATGTATTGGTACTGATGTTTCATCAGTTCAAGTCTGAATGACACAATAAAAATGAGGTAGTCACATCCTAGGTTATAACAGTTGTCTTTCACCAGTGACCACGCATTAAATAGCAGCAGCCAGTTTGATCTTACCAAACCATGGTAAGATAAAGAATGCGACAGAAAGAAAAGCAGATTAAAGGGACAACCATCATTTGACCTTCATGAATGCTTCCAACTTCTCATGTTTCATATTGTACGTGTTAAAATGCTAAATCTCAGAGCTGCTTCTGGTGTTCTAAGATATATATAATTTGAATACTTCATGGGAATGGCCTTGTCTCTTGGGTTTCTCACAGTGCAGTCCATTGAAGTCAATGGGCTTAGAAGGGTTGTAACTCTGCTTAGGATGGTGTAATGATTTCAAGTTGTGTGTGTTTCTTTAAATGTTGGTAAGTTTCAGAAGAGAATGGGGGGAGAAGAGTGGGATGAGTGAGTGAGGGGATTGATTGGTGACTGAGGGTGATTCCGCAATAGAGCTTAAGTCCTGGTTCAGCCCTTTCCCCGAACTTGCATTCCACACTACACTCAACTTCACCCCTGTAATGATCTCAGGGTATTTTTTGTTTCCACATTACATTGAGGTCACCCCGGTTTCACCCCACACTTGTCCCAGGATAAACGGATGCTGTTATAACCAGGGATAAATGCAAGGTAGTGTGTCATGAGTTGAACTCTTATAAAACCAGGGAAGAGTTCCAAGTGCGGAAAGGACCTGAGAGTGTATGGGCAGAGCTAGGAAAAGTGGGGAGAGGGAGAGAGAGGGAGAGAGAGAGAGAGAGAGAGAAACTGTTAACAGTCAGCAGAAGTCAGTCAGTCAGCAGTTAATGGTCAACATAAAAAGTTCCGTCTTCTAAATCCAGCAAGGTATTAGGATTCTGGAGAAGAAAGTAGTAATACTTTTAGAGAGGACGTATTAGTGACTAGAGAGAGTCAAATCCTAATATTGTCAAAGTATTATAAAAATGTGAAAGAAAGAAGCTGATAGAAACTTGAGTTAAAAGAAAGGGAAAGATTTAACTGAGCAGTATATATTAAAGCTTGACTGTGAAGTGAAAGAGTGTGACAACTTAATCAGAGGTCATTAACATCCAGTTTTATTTATGGAGGAAATAAGTTGCTAAACATCCTGAAACCAATACGCTACTTGTACAAATAAAGCTTTGT